GCCAGGGGGACTTGAGGGCTGTGGGGACCGGGCCTCCCTCCCACCCTGGCCCTTGGTCAGGGTCTTAGCTCTGCTGGGCCAGACTTGAGCCGGAGCACAGCTCCCCGGCTCCCTGCCTCAGGCGGGACCAGGGACAGGCGTCCAGCCGGTGCTGAGGGGAGGATGGTGGGCGGGAAGGCAGGGGCAGAGAGCCAGAAACAAGACCGGCTCTGGCCTGGCACTGGAGCAGCCCGCGGGGCCGCCTTCTCACCCCCAAAGAGCAGGATGAGCCCGGGGCTGGGGCTGTGCTGAGGCCGGCCCACCTCCCTCCCTGCGGAAGCAAACGGGCCAGGGCCCCCGCGGACTGTGTGCCCGGCTCCCTGGGTCTGCTGAAGAAAGCACCCAGCACGGAGGCTCCGCCTGCGGGTGCAGACCTGCTGGGCGTGGACAGCGGCAAAGGCGGCCCGGCCCGCGCAGGCGGCACAGCCGAGGGCAGCAGCGATGGGCCGGACTCCTGCGGCCTCTGTCCCTGCTGCTCCTGGTCACAGCACCAGGCCTGGGCCAGGCTGCACCGTGCACCCTGCTGCTCCCCCTCACTTCTGCCTGGGCCCAGCAGAAACCCCAACAGCATGGAGGAGGGGACACCCTCCAGCCTCCTGGCTCAGGGATCTGACAAATGCCCGATAGTCTGTGTGGACGCCACCCCCTGCAGGCGGGCGGACTGCGGGACCACCCAGTCCAGTGCTGCCCCCCTGGTCACCCCACTACCTGAGACTCGGTTTTCAAAGCCAGGTTCTTCCCACCGATCGGACAGGAGGAAATAAATGGCTCCGTGCAGGGCGGCCAGCAGAGGAAGGACTATGCCTGCCTGCCGGTGGCCCAAGTGCACTGAGCAGACGCACATCAGAGCCGAGGACTAACCAGCCAGCAGACAGCAGCAGGCGTGTGGGTGTGCGCGCGTGTGGGGGTGTGCGAGCGTGTGGGAGTGCGAGCGTGTGGGAGTGTGAGCGTGTGAGTGTGCGTGTGGGTGTGTGAGCGTGTGGGTGTGCGAGCGTGTGGGAGTGTCCCCACCAGACACAGGGGGTGGGGGGCGCACACTGTCTTGGGAGGGCCAGGTGGAGGGCAGAGACTGTCATGTGCTGGGTCTTTAGAAAGAGGGCGAGTTCTACTTTAACTGAGATCCCTTTCGATGGCTCCCAGCTCTGCCAGGCCCCCGTGGCACCTCTGTGCTGTCCCTTCATCAGCAATCCTCCAGGGACAGGCCTCAAAGAAACTTCCTCCCCAGGGCAGTCGGACCCGGACCTGTCAGTCCTGGGAACGATTCCGAGACGATGACGGACCCTGTGGAGGAGTAAGGCGCCGTGCCTGTGAGCGAGACGCTGGGAAGCGTCCGACGGGTCCATCCGTGAACGATGGACAGCCACTGTGCCGTCATCCATCAGGAATCACATTTAAGAAAAAGATTCAGCAACAGAGAAAAACTGACATGTTCAATGAAAGAATACACGTGCCCGTGTGTATGTGTGTGCAAGTATGTACATGACTGTGTAAACGTGTGCATGTACATGTGTGTAGACACATTCACATACATGCACAGAGAACAGGCCTAAAACTGCCCTAATGCTGCTGGTGGCTACCTTTGGGTGGTTTAATTTTAGGTCATTTAGGTTTTGCTCTTTATACTTTCCTAGAGTTTCCACATTCACTGTAAAAAACAAACAATGCTTTTATAATAAAAATAAAATGCTAGAGAAAAAATAAATGTGCACAGACTCGGAGGGAAATTCTGAATGCAACCAAGTACTGTGCGTGGTCCTGGCCGTCGCCAAGGACCAGCCGCCGGTGGGCGTGCGCTCTCTGACGGATGCCCATTGTTTGACTCCGTCTCTAGCTGTGTGTGGTTTTGTTCTCTGCCCACAGGTGGCTCTCTCCACACATGCACGTCGTGCACACGCACAGGTGGAACGTGTGTACCTGCTGCCTCTGCACACGCACATGCTCACATGTGCAGCCACTGGCCGGTACTGCGCGGCGGGCTTCCCACACCACGCTCCGGCCGCTCCCCGGCTGCTGGGCATCGCGATTGTAGCTTCAGAAACTTTCTCGTGAGGTGTTATGACCAAGAATGCGAGACTTTTCTTCGCGTGGACACTGGAGTCAGTTCTAAAAAGGCCAGTCTCCTTCCTCACCCCAGCACTGCCTGCCGATGGGATGGGTGCGGGAGCTTCCGGGAGGCCCTGAGGACCAGCACGGGGCCAGGCAGTGGTGGCTGCTGACTCACCCCAAGCACATGGGCGGGGGCTCTTTCAGGAGCAACTCCCCACGGCCCACGGCTCCTGGGTGCGAGCAGCTCGGGAGCCCGACCGGGCGCCCCCGTTCCCAGCTGCTCCCGAGCGTCACTAAACAGCCTTTAAATGTGCGGTAAACGTAGCAAAACGTTAACGTGGTAAAGAGGTACTTACGTTCCATTTATTCTTTTACAAACACTATCCACCTCATTCCGAATGCAGAGGAAATCAAAGAGAGAGGAAAGCGAAG